CGGGGATGGGCTCCCCCAGCTTCCCCAGGAAGTTCGCCCCCGGCCGCTGAACCCGCCCGGAGCGCCCAGGGAGGTTCCAGCGGCGTCGTCTCCCCGGGGAGAGGGAAGGGCAGGGCCCGCCGCCCCTGCGAGCAGCATGGACCCGAGCGCCGTCGGTCACCCGGTGACCCTCATCATCAAGGCCCCCAACCAGAAGTACACCGACCAGACCATTAACTGCTTCCTGGACTGGACTGTGGGCAGGCTAAAATCTCACCTCTCTGACGTCTACCCCAGTAAGCCGGTGAGTTGTTGGCCAGCCGTTTTTCCTCCTCTTGTCGGTGAGACCGGCGTTGGGGTAACTTCTGGGCGGTCGATCAAGGCTTCCCTTAGGCGCTCTGCAAAATAAACAAGGGAGAGCCCTACTGCCAAAGGGCAGTGGCTGGGTCTCTGCTGTCAGGGCAGTTGGCGGTATAGATAGCTGCTTTTTTACGTGGTTTGAGAAGATCACAATATAGCGTTCTGAAAAGTGGTATCACTGAAGATACTTGTTAATGCTCTGTTCACCTGAATTCCAGGTCTTAAAAAAGTTATCTCAGTTAACTCAGTTGAAGATTAATTTCTGTAAACGTAAGAGTTCTGTCTGAAGGAACTACAGTACTTAAGTGATAGAGCTAAAGTTACTACGAACTAGTGAATCCACTGAGGTGTGGGGCAGATAAATGTTTATTCACAACATTATTTGAAACAGGCAATTGAACAGCCTCCAGAATGATTTCTTTTTTTTTTTTTTTTTTTCCTCTTTGAAAAGCTGTTTTTTTGAGGCGGTGCTGAAAGCCCTGCTCTCTGATGTTCCACAAACTTGTGTGGCAGTTGTGACTATTTTGAAACTTGATATAAAAGCTTCTATCTTTTTTTGATCACTGAGAAAAATATAATTTATTTCTAAATCCTTTTAAGTTCTAAATTTGACAGTTAAAAGGTTATGAAAAACTATGCAGATAATAATAAAAGATAATGCTGCACCTGTTTAGAATGGCAGTCATACAGAACAGTGTATTTGAAAACTTGTTCCAGAAAACTGTATAAAGGGAGTGACTTTGCCTCCACATTGCAGCAGCATGCAAGGCCTGAAGCTTGCTGTAGAAAACATCAGACAAAAGTCGTGTTTATATTGTAAGTGATTAGTATTCACCTAGTTCAGTAGAAAAATTATTGGCATTGCTGATTTCTCTCTTTTTTGGGGGAGGAAAAAAGGCAAAATAGTGGCTTTGTGTCTCAAAGGGGGTTTCTGCCTTTTGGAGAAAGCAGAAGAAAAGCAGTCAGCAACTGAGGCTGTGTCACTGGTATATTGAGATCTATTAAGCAGTATTTGAGTTTGCTGATTTAGTTATTGATGTGAGTAATTCTCTGCTGAGAGCGCTTATCTGCTGTGAAAGAAATGAATACGTGACTTCAGCTGATTGCTGCTTCCTCCTCCTCGCTAGAAACTACTCCTGTAACATATTTGTGTTTAAACACTAGTCTTCTGACTCATCCTTTGATCTTGCTAAATTGGGCTTCTAGGAAGAATCCTTAATGAACAAGAGGTTTTTATGTTGCACTGTAGGTTTTAACCATTAGTATAATATTAAATTTCAGTTTCCTGGTACATCTTTCTTCTGTTGAAAATTGGTTCCTCAACATGCTTCTCATTAAATAACTAGTTCAGAATCCCAAAAATTGTTCTGGGTTGAAGGATGAGGAGCTTCTTTTGTGAAAATTATCTCAGTAATTCCAACTTAATTTGGATTTACCGTACTTTCAATTAAACTAGTAACTGGACGCTTTTTATTTCATAGAACCTTTCAAATTAATAACGTGGGAGCGGAGAAAGGTGTTTCATAGGATGTCTCCTATGTATAGGAAAACTGAAAAGTATATTTTTGGCTTGATAGGTGTTTGACGTTGAGTGTTACGCTTTTTTCAGATTTGTTGAAATTTTTGTGCTTCTAGGACTTTTTTCCTCTCTTTTTTTTTTTCTTTCTTTTTAAACCAGATCAGTGTCAAAAGCTTGTCAATCAAATTTACATTCCCTGAATGTGATAGGTCCTGGAAATAACTTCTATTATAATGCTATTTTAAGAGTGCAAGAGTACATCAGAACACACATGCTCTATACAGGTATTGCAGTGTTCTTGAGGTGAAGGGTGTCAAATAGAAATCGGTTGCTATCACTGCTATACATAGTCTTTCAAGTTTTCACGTGGGACTTGTACCTCATTTTCCTATATACATTTGTAAATTGGTTGGTAAACTGGTGGTAACTGTACATGTTGTCCTTAAATTTACAGTTTATTAAGAGTATATCTTCAGAAAACAAGATGGTTAAAATAGGCAAATTAGAAGTTAGGCTTTGAGGCAGAGGTTTTTGTGATTTTTTTTTTTTTTTTTAGTGTAATTTGCATAAATTTCTTAGCTAAATATGTACAAATTCCAAGTACTGGCAGATTTAAAATGGTTTAGTTATCACTAAGTAAGTCACTGAGTAAGCTAAATTGGTTTAAAACAGTGGTAAATCAGTTTGTGGGTCTATACCAAGGTTCACATTCATCGATATTTTTTTTTTTCCCCCCGAGTGGACCTATTTCTCATAGCTAGAGTACTGCAGTTATAGTTTCCTCGAATGAAATGTTTATTTAAGAAAACTTGGAAAATCAGCCTGTATGTCTCAGTCTGGCAAATCTTACATTCAGTGCATTAACTACTGCATTGATTACACCGATAAACATTAGTTTAAAACTGCTGTGTTCCTCATTTCCTTTAGTACCTGTCATTTAGCATATATTTTACCTACAGTTCTAACCAGATGTGGTTGTTTGGGTTTTTATTACCTGTGGAAGAATGGGAGAGAGGCTGAATGACCAAAATAATCAATGTTTTGTAGCTGAAACAGGATATCTCAGAGATTGTCTATGTTTCTAAAGGAAGTTGCTGCTTTAGCTTGGTGGTTTTGATAGTGTGCTGGGTGTATCTAACTTGGATTAAGCATTGCAGAAGGAGTCTTGAAAAATGGAAGAAAAAAACCAATAGCTGATGAATTATTGCTTTTAAATACATCTCTTTTGGATTATGGTCTGAAAACTGTCTTCCACCTCATTTCCAGACTTTAGGTTCTAGAATCATTTTATCTGATGCTATGTGCTTCCTTAAGTCTATTTATTTATTTATTGTAATTTGCATCACAGTTGAGGGTTTTGGCTAGCAGTGTGCATGCTGTTCCTTGAAGCGGGAGGTGTGGTAGTGAACCTCCTCTGGCAGAGGATGAGGTGAATTCCTTTTCCATTTCCTTTGGAATATATGTGAATTACTGTGTTTTCACATTTATCACCTCTTCTTCCATCTGCATTGAAAAAAAAAAAAAATCCCACATCCAGAACTCCTGGATGTCTTTCACCGTGAGAATTGCCAGTGGTAATCCTGTAGTGCACAGGTATTTAAGTTATGTAGGGAGGAGTATGGGGTTTAAGACCTCATCTTCCCCCATTAATGTCTCTAGCTTAATATGATTAACAGTACTCAGTGTATGTGTAACCTCTTGTGGTTTTGTAGGGAGCTGAAACGCGTTACTGAAGGCTATGTAGTAGTCAGCTTTGAGGGGTCAGTTTAATCTAGCAGCTTCTTCTCTGTAAAGTATTGTTATCAAAAAATTAATTTGTACTACTAGTATCCTGTCTGTGAAGGTACTTAATTAGGTGGGGTTGAGGGGAGGTTCATACAGGGTACTGAAGAGAAGAATCTGCATTTGACCATATAGAATGCTGTACTATGGGTGGGACAGGCAAAGCAACACTCCATGGACATGTTGGATGATGGTACAAAGATTTAGAGTTTGGGGTTTTGTTGTTGCGTTTTGCTTGTTTTGTTTTAACTGCTTATCTGTTCTAATTAATCTGCAGATAATGCATCTCACGACCCTGAAACAAGGTTTCTGAGACTTTCTTCTGGCTCCCCTGGTAGTTCTAAAGCAACATGTGTCTAATTTACAGGAAAACAAAGTTTTCTGTAATCTCGATGCATGCATCAAATTCTAGCTTTTCTAAGAAGGCCTTTCCCAAATGCAAATAAGCATGTATTCTGTTAGCAGACTGTTCCTGCTTGAAAGGAGCAACCAAAACTGTATAGTTCGAAAGAAATTAGCCTGACATGAGAGACAGTCACTTTTTGTTGTTGTTTTAAATGCAAATAGAAGTAGTACAGCATGATGTTGAATTCATGGCAGTATTTTATCCATTGGAGCTGCAGATAAATAGTTCCCTGTGTTGTGAGACTTAGAAAATAGTGTATTGTGTCATTAATTAAAAATACAGAAAAATGCAGAAGTATATAGAAAATGATTCTTCAGTAGAAGTGATAAACAGTTCTGTACTGTGTGTGGTAGATTATGCACTTGTTTTTTAAAGCCAGGTATTTAATCACGAAGAGCTAGTATGAATTTGGGAAAAAAGTTAAAGCAAAAGCTTCTCAGATTTAATGTGTACTTTTTATAATACAGTTTTTTTCTAGTGATATGACACTATTTTTTTCAGGGAAAAATCAAGTTCTGCAACTTTTCTATGTTTTGCTGAGTTACAGGGAATCTGTAAAAGGCAATTGCAAGAAAAAAATTTTCAAAACTTCTGTAAAAGCTTTTTCTAGTCAGAGAGATCTGTGTCTCAGGTATTTGTGTGTTAGTACTCGCATGAATAAGACTGCAGAGTGGGCAAGAGAAGGCTGGGAGAGAAAGAGGAGAAATGTAAGACTAACTGTTTGCGTGATGGGGAAATTCTTCAAATATTTCATGCTGATAATGCATGTCCGTTCCAGTGATGTCAGGCTAGATTTCTTCATTTCGCATTTGTTTATGTTAGTGCTCTCCTTCAAGTGATAAACACTATTGTATTAATTTAGGATGCAAGCAGTAGTTAAACTGAACTGATGTATCAGTTGGTTTCTCTTAAATATTAATCCATATTAAAAGAATTTTAATGAGTTTTTCAAAAAAAAAAAAAAGGAGCTGTTTATTCACATAGAGCATGTTGGTGACCCACTGGTATTGAGACTATTTAAAACTTTCTGACAGCATAAAAGTGAATTGAGTGGGGTTGGGGCTTTTGTTTGCTGTTTTCTTTAACCAAGTAAACTGCCTGTTGTTTTACTGTACTGGACATCTTACTGTAGATAGGTACCCCAGATAGTTTCCTTATGAAAAGAATTTCGTCATTTTCTCTTCTGTGTAGAATAATTAAGTTATGATGTTATGAATAACATATCATTTGTTTAAAAAAAAAAATCTTTGTTGGCATTACTAAGGTATTTAAACTGTGGAAGTGTAAAAACAGGCAAAAAAGCTTACAAAGTTTGAAGGCTACCTTGAAAAAAATACTTTTGTTGCTTCATTCCATTATTCCACTATTTTTGGTTTTTTTTTTCTTTGCCCCAGCCACTTTTCCATCAACTTTTTCAGCAAGTGCCTGGCAATGAGAGCAGGGTAAAGAGCAAATCTTTAAAAGAAAGGAATTTTTTAATATACTTGATAGTTTTCTTGAGCACCATTTGCTGGTTAAGTGTTGTTAATTGTTATGGCACTCTTGCTGAGTGCATAGTAGCAGAATTCTTTTTCAGAATTAATTTGCGAGTTGGACTTGTGAAGCCTCTGAAATGTTTTTAAGGCTATCTGTTGGTGGTTGGAATTATAAGGGGTTTTCTCATCTGCAAATGTTGTCTCCAGCTGTATAGCTGTACAGCAGGGAAAAGCTAAATTCCTTTCTTTGTCCCATCTCCTAGTCTACAAAGGATCAGAGACTGGTGTATTCTGGCAGACTGCTTCCTGATCATCTGCAGCTGAAAGATGTTCTCAGAAAAGTAAGCTTTATATCAACACCGTATGATATATGATGAAAATCCCTTTTTGGGAATTGGGAATGTAGATTTGTATTGTTTAGCTTCAAATTTTCATTGTCGTATTGAGAGATGTAACCATATAATGTTGGTATGGTCGGGCAAATGTATTTTTCATGTATCCCTTGCCTGTAGGATTGTGATACTTGTGGATTGAGGCATGTTTCCAGTTGGCGGGAGAGCAAGTAGGCTAAGTCCCAAGCAAGTGATAAGTAGAATGACTTCTTTGGGCAGTTCCCACTGTGACCTAAACGGAATAATTTTAACAAATTTGTGTTGGTTTGGGACATCATTTCATTTCTTGTATGTACTTCAATTCAAGAATTTACATGAAAAATGGCAGTTGTCTAAGCAAATTAAGGGTAATATATTTATATGCAAAACCAGAATTCTAAATTCCTGAATGCTTTTGCTGGGAAAGCTGTTTGTTGTCCTGGTTTTATTCATCAACTATTAATTGTTCCTGATGATGTTTGAAAGTTTGCTGGTTCTTGCGGGTTGTTTATTACTACTATTCTGCTGGTTTATCTTGGAAAAAATAATTCTAACTAATCTAACTTTGGATTCTTTGGTCAATGTTTAAATTAAATCCAAATCCTGAGTACACACGATATCTGGTGTAGGAAATCTTGGAATATATCTACTTGATTCTCAAATTGGTTCAAATAGTTTGGACTGATGCTACCAAGTAATAGGGACTTCCTTAAGTTAGTAAAGTTCTTAAAAATATGCAGAATAAGATCATACTTAGAGCAGATTATAAAGAACTTTGTTTCAGTTTCAATGGTAAGAGAAAACAACGCATTATGTTGAGTAGTCTTTAAACTCGTAGTAAACAGATCAGGATGCATCAATAGCTATGTTTGGAAAATACTTTAGGTCATGAAACAATTATACAGGTTTTAATCCTATGAAATAGGTAAACTGTAATACAGTACTTGGGTGTTGGTCACGATACTTTTTTGTAATGTGTTACGGTAAAAAAATCAAGGTACAGACTGCAAGAGTGCACTTTGGTATGGAGGAAAGTCTCTCAAGGAGAATAATAGTTTAGTGAAAGTGGGCAACTGAACTTCCATGTCTAGTATGGAAAAAACAATGCAGAGAAGTCTTGAGTATTGCTTGAGCAGACTAACACTGTTGTTACTTTACAGTCTTCATTCTGAAATAGATTTTAAATTAGATTTAACTGCTTACCAAAAAATGATTAAAATTTACTATGTATAGATTTACTAGAAAACTGGAGCTGGACTATTGCCAACCAGTATGTGTCCTGTACCACTTAAAAGTTCATGAAAATGGTTATATAACTTAACCTCAAAGCGTAGTTTTGCTTGTTAAGGACAAAATGAATTCTGACTCCCTTAAATTCACTTGGCCTGCTTACAGCAGACTAGTTTTAGGAAACACAATTTCAAACCTTACTTACGTGCTAGAGGAGAAACTTTGCCTAAGTAATGTCTTCATTATACAGGGGCTATATTTGATTTTCAAGGTATTGTAGTAGCTATAGGGCTTGGGTTTAGTTAAAGAAATTTAGTGAATTTAGAAACATACTCATCAGTCTTAAGTACAAAGTTAAAAATTTGTGTTGGAAGAAGAGGACATTTTTGTGCTCAAGCTTTTAAGAGTTTTTGGAAAAAAGGTATGATTACTCTGAAGTTCAGTCTCATTCTCTGCCGTATTCTTCCTGCTTCATCGGCTATAAATTCCTAGTATTATCTGAGGATTTACTAAATCTTACAATTTAGCTTTGTGATACTTTGATACTGAGTGGCGTCATTTCACTGATACAAAACACCTTGATGCACTCTTCAAGCATAGTGATGTCCAATTTGTTATGTATAAACAGAAATGTATTATAATACAACTGTCACACTGAATAAAGTTGTACCCTGTAAGCTTACAAGTAGTATGTCTAGCTTCCTTTGCCTTTCTGAGTGGCATTAAGTTCTTACCTAGAAGGAAGGTAACTACTTAGGTTAAAGGCTTTTGACATGGTCAGAACGATGATCACCCGCGTTCAGTGGTCTCTGATCATTGCTTACTATCACCAACTAGCAAGGAACTACACTTAATGTAATAGCAAGGCCATGCTTTGGGGCCAGAAACCTGATACATGCAGAGGAGTTTAAATGAATGTGGATGTGGATAGGCCAGCAGTAATGCACAATGGTGTGTAAAAGCAGTTACCCAGTTTTCTTTATTCCTAAAGATTAAAACTTAAAAATGAGTAAATGTGTGTGTTAACTTTTTTTATAGTTTAAAAAACCCTCCAAACCTGGTATATCTAAATGTCATCTCATTAAAAACTGCAGCTTCACTGCACCACGCTGATTTCAGAAGAGGATAGAATTATGTTTTGTTGGTTTTCTTGTTTAAAAATGTGTTTCTGAGGAAGCTGTAGTGTGCAACTTAAACACACAGTCATAGTAGTTCTTATTGCTGTGGCAATATAAGCTTCAGGCATGCTGATATAATGGGGTATTTTCATCTGGTACAGTGAAATAGCTTCAGATTGAACTTGTTATGGCATTCATGTTGGGGGGGGGGAGCATATTAATGAAGAATTGTCATGGGCTGATTACTACATGGTTTCAAGTGGTGCCACTTGTATTCCTAAACATTTGAAAGTGAGGAAGTGGACTCCAGTCACGTCTAGTACTTACAATAGCATTCCCTGAGTGTGGAATATCTGCAGGGGCTCTTCATTTGGGCATCTGAAGGTTAGGCTTGAGCCAAGCTTAACACTAGAATGAGGTAGAGGCAATGGCTGGTACATTTTTTCTTACCTTGGTCTGCTTGTGGAATTCCAGTGCCTACATTTTTCATTTACCCTGATGTCTTTACTGAATAACACTCTTCATTAGATCTCAGTGCAAATGTAAGCATTCTTAACTTCAGGGAAACCCAGCCCTGTAAAGGGTTTGAGATTTTTCCAAAATAAAAGTTAGAGCTTATGATATACTTCCTTATGTTTCTCTGTGCAGTCTTCCAATGGTTCTGCTATACTGCAGTTCCAGGGAAAACTGGGGGTAAGTGAATGTTCAGTATGTTACTGTAGATGGCAGCTAAGAAAACATCAGTTGTGAAACAGTACATTTTTCTTGTGCTAGGCTCAAGTTTTGCTTTATGGTCTCTCCATTTTGTATAATGTTTCTTCACTGATTGCAAATGCAGCTTTGAAAAGACATTTTTTGCTTGTAAATTTCTCAAATACCATTGCTTTAGCTCTTCACTTTCTTTCATTTTTAGCAAGATGAGTATCATATGGTTCATCTGGTATGTACTTCCCGGACACCCCCAAGTTCTCCAAAACCCAGCACCAGTAGAGAAGGTCACGGAGCTTCAACCTCGAGCAGTAGCTCAGTGAGTGGTTTTTTTTTTTTTTTTCATACACAGGACATGGATTTCTTCTACGCTGAGGAAGCTTTCCAGGAATTTATCTCTTAATTTTTAAATTTTGACTGTAAAACAGTGTGATGGAAGTAGAACATGCCATGTGAATTTGTACAATTAGACTTATTTAAGTGTGCCACTTTACTTGAACAAAGATGACCTTTTTTCAAATTGTAACACAATAATGCTTATTAGATGATAAAACACTACTCTAAGCTATTCTTTACTCTTAACACTTTATCAAAAAGTACATTTTCCCTTCTCTCCATATCCTTGTATCTTTGGCAGAAATCGAGCGGTGTGTTCAGATTTTTAAAAAAGAAAAAACCTAAGTTCTGATTTATTTTGTGAAAACTTGAAGAGAGACCAGTCTAATTTGTGCCCTTGTTGTGAGGCAGACAGGTGGAGCTTGGCCAGCATTCATTCTGCTTGGCAAGAATTGGCCAGTACGTGTGTAGCAGCTTCAGGGGAGTCATAGTGTCTGTAAGACAGCGAGGAGTAGGAAGTGTTCTTAACGTTTTATTCATTAAGGTGTTCATAGAATGTCTTTTTAAGGGTGTTTTGAGTCTTCCCCTCTTCACACCCTCCAAAAATGATGTTCTTTGATTGTAGTCTGTTTTAACAGAAGGGCAGTCAATGTTTCTGTTGATGACTTGGCTCATCATCACTGCAGTTCTCTTGGCTTTTTCCAGAGCTGGCAGTATCACTAAGCAACCCTTAGAGGTTAGTCAGAAAGGAATGTATGCAATACCATTGTAGGTACTTCTCATCTGTGGTGTGGTGATTATCAGCATATGGGAAATACCTTTCTGGTAATAAGCTGTCTTCATTCTTCTGTCAGTAGGGTACTGTTTTCAGTTGCTGTGTGACAGTCGGTAATACAAGCAGTTTAAGCAATAATAGAGAGTGGACGATGGTTACATTGTCTTTTCAAAAGCTGTATTTATATCTTTCTTCGCAAGCAGGACACAGGGGGCCTTCTTTCTGACTGTTTTATTGCTATGTAGATCAGTTGTAAATCTTGTATTTACGTGACTATATTAATAACTGCTTAAAGCAGTCAGTATGCACAGTGTTAAGTTCATAATACTTTGAAGGAAACAACATAACCCCAAGGCTTGAATGGCGTTTGTTCTTCCATTTGTTTTTTATTTTTGTTTTTCCCCCCACTGTCTAGTGGTAAATTTTTCTTGTTTTCCTTTGTAGGGCAAATGTGATATGGATGTCTTAAGTAATTGCAGCTCCTCACTTCCTGAGTTGTCAAAGTTGAAGAGGATTTTCTACTGAGTAAACATTACAGTAATGCTTAGCAACAGGATTTGGAGATTTATTAAAACTAAAATAATGCATCTCAATGGCCAAATTGCAATCTTGTTATGGTGACAAATAATCTAGGAGAGCCAGCTGTTGTCCTGCTTCCAGGGTTAAGTATTGCTCTTGGAAAGCATTGAAGGTCTGACACACTAGTTTAGGTGTGTTTCTGGGAGCCTAAGTAGTTCCTGGCTACTTTTCTGCTGCCACCCCCTCCCAGCAGCAAACACAGCAGTTTGAATTGGGAAGCTGGCACAGTGAAGAGGATGAGCAGAAGGGGAAACTGAAAACAAGAATAGACGAATGGTATTTTAAGCCACTGCAGGCACTGTTGTCTCTGAATATAAAGTCTTCTCCTGAGGTTGTAGTTACTTTATTTAATGGTAGCCACTAGAATTTTTGTTGCTGCTAAATATTCTTTGGATTAAGCTTTAGTGTGGTTCAGCTTTTTGAAACTTTGATTCCCAGTGACTTGTGGTTTTCTCTGGGATCTATCAAGTGTTGAGTCGTTCTGAAAACGTCACTTTTTTTTATATGTACAGAGTGCAATTTTGAATTTCTGCTTTTACTAAAGGTTTGCCAGAACCAGTAAACCCCCAGAAGACTTGCCTGGTGCTTATATTCTCAATAAAACTTATGACAAAACATTAAAGCAAGTAGTTTTTTAAGACACAGTAGTAAATCTTGTAACTGTGGCAAAAAGATCCCCAACCTCAATTTTGTTTATTTTTAAGAATTTGGACCGTTCTGGATCAACCGCTGCCTCACCCACAAACCAAGAAGCTTCATCTACGTCGTTGAACACTAGTGCTGATGGAGTGAGGCATCGTAATATTCCACAAGTACAAAGCAACCCCATACCAAGCCCCCAGTTCCCCTATTTAATGCAAGGGTAAGTGAGATGGAAGCAATCCTCAGCTCTTTGATACTCTTTAAAGTACTTTAACTGTTCAGTTGCGTTATGTTTCTTTTGCAGTCTGCAGTATTATTTGGCTAGTTCATCTTGAAGCATAAGTCACATCTAGAAACATTTTTAATACAAGTGTTAATGTTTTTAGCCAGGGGTCAATGAAAGAGTAAAGTGTTCTTGGTGCTCACCTTCAGGCTCGTTTTTTTTTGTTTTTTTTTTTTTGTGCTTTCTGCCCTCCACTTCCTCTTAAGTGCAGCTGTAGTGGATGTAGTTAGTAATATAATTGATAAAATTACTGCTTCTGGTTGCTTTTTCTAGTCCTTTATTGTAATCATCAACACTAAATTCTTACCAGAATATGATGGTTCTTAGTTTTTGACACGTGAGAGATCTAACTCTTCACTTCTCCATATTGGATTCAACTGTAGAAATGATATGCTGGTGTTTTGAGTACATGTAAGTGCTTATGTATCTACAACAGAATTTTGAAGTATTTTTATACATACCTATGAAATGTAACCAGTGTACATTTCTAGATCATATCTGTTGTTATGTAACTTACACAATTCCATCCTTTTTTTTGCACTTAAAAAGTAGGTTTAGGAATTTTTAACTCATGTGACCTTCGCAGCTTCTTAAACTTTGTTTTCTTCCAAGTGGAAGGTGGGTGGATAGTGCATTCTGAGATGATAGCTGTCATTTCCTTAGGGAATGCTCTTTCTGACAAGGTGTTCTCCCAGTACTGTATAGATTTTAGAGATATTTTATTGGAGAATGTTAGCAGGTTCATCGTTCTTTCTGTTTAAACAGTAACAAATGTTTGTGTCACTGGAAAGAAAACAGATGTCAAGAACTGTCAAAAATTTATTTTGTTTCAGTTCAATTTACTTGCTCTCTTGTTAGAGTTAACCTAGACTTTACTAGTCTTACTAATTTTCATCCTGAATTCCTTCAAGTCCATTTTGTTATTTACCTGAAATGTACTGTCTACTGGGAAGAAATTGCCTTTGCCATAGGTGGAGTGCTTACGTTATTCTGACCACATGCATCTCTGCAGGAGTGGTTATACTTGCCTTGATGACAAAGCTAGGTGATGCTAGGTTGACTGTCAAGACTGCTGTTTGGTGTAATGTAAATTAATTCCAGAAGCAATTTGTCATGTGTTACGTAAGTTACTAATCTGTAAGAAGTTTTAATGTTTTTTTAATTAGCTTTTCACGTAAGCATACCCTTTTTTTGTCAGTATGTATGGTGAACTGAATAGCCCATGGGCTTCAAAAAGGCAATAGAACCATTGTTCAGTCTTATAGCTGAAATAGTTAATTAAAATACAGCGGGAAACATCAGTTTGGAAGACACTACTGTGTCTGAAAAAAAGAATAACTTCTAAATAAATAAAAACACTAAGTCTATGTCTGTATTAGCAAGTAATGTGGATTGAGAGGAGTGGATCTGTAGACTGAAATAGATGCTGAGAACCTGACCTCAACACGCTGCACATACTTCAGGATTTTTTGTCTTATTTGGACTATCACTAGTTTGGTCACCTGGAATGGGTGCCTATTTGTGGCTAAAGAGCATTAGCAGTGCACCTAAATCGCATCTTTTAACTTAGTGTAATCCAAAAGGAATCCAGATGGTGATCCAAGGGCATTCTGTGGTGCAAACAAAACTGTAGTAAGAGGAAGTGACTGTGTATTTGCTTCAAAAGTGCAGTCCTGACCTGAAGAGAAATGCCAAAATAAATCACCCCTAAATAATCTTAGGCCTTTTTTGTAAAAGTAATTTAATGGAATGCTATCAGAACTTAAGGTAGATCTTTGCTGCAGGCTGCTGGGCACTGGCTGTGCTCCACTCCAAATAGCCTGTGACAGTGCCTGCTGTTGTTCGCTGTAGTCTTAAAAAACCCTTTTTAATGCTTTCAATAATCTTCTCCAGTGCATCTGTGTTTGCTTCAGGGCACTGCTACTTGTATTCTAGCAATAAGAAATGCCTTCTGTTTTGTAGCTGCTCTCTTAAACGTCATTTGAGGCAATGAAAACTAGCTTTAATGTAATTTGTACACAGACTGAGACTTGTTAGGAACAATGAAGATTCGTAGCTGAAATTTGCATGCCTTGTGGATTTTACTGTTTCAAGACCAAACACTTTCATTCTAGCTGCATGATGAGCTATGGGCTCTTCTGATGGGGAAAGGTCTCCAGATGTTTGAAAATGTATGTGAGGGTCAGTTTTCTTGACCATTTTGCAACACTTTCATCAGTAAGGTAATTTGTACAAATAAGATTAAATTATGGGTTTGATGGTTTTTCTGTTCCTGGCACAAAACTTCAATGTGTGAGTTGAATACCCTTTGGGAAAACAGCTAACTCAGATTGTTAAAATATTACAGAGAAAGCGATTTAAAACTTTCTGTTGCTTTTGAGCTTTTGTAAATGCTGTTTTCTAAAAATGTAGACTTGAGGTGAAGGTGGGCAAGTAGTTTATATACCTACCAAGTCAGTCTTCCGCAGTGGAGTGCAAGCACAGCATTGTCTGCTCCTGTGGACGTAGTCGTGGATCAGGACCCCACTGTGGTTTGCAGGTACAAACAGAACAGATGGGCTCAGTCCTGAAATGGCTTGCATTTCAGATTGGAGAGTACTTGGAAGCAGTAAACAGACAAGAAATATCAAGGCAATGAGATTATTAGTCAATTGTGGGCAGCCCATCTAATGAAATGTTTTCGTATTGTGTACATAGTAATGTTTGAAAGTGAACAACAAAATGACATCCTGACAGCATGCAGTATGTTCTAGCACATAAATACCTTGCTTAATCAGTAGCCTTCGCGTGCTGTATTTTTTTTTTTTTTTTAATAGTAGCAAATAACATAGTGGAGGATATTGAAATAGCACTTCAAGTTGATATCCCAGGCTTGTATGAGACTAACACTAAATGAGATGTTTTTGTGGGTCAAGGTCATTAAATGCAGTTATTGTCAGTCACGCAGATCACAAGAGATTGAGCTTTTAAGTCTGAATAAAAGGTCTTATTTTTCCATTAGTGGTGAGCAGTATCTTCATGGTGACACTAGCTAACTAGTCTGACCTTACCCTCAAATTGAATCCCAGTTAGCTCATTTTAGGTGTCTCCCATAGACCAAAAGAAGTGATTCTGAGCTTTCTAGCTATTTAAAGATTAGTGTGCCTCTTTCTCTTCAGAATATTCTGAATCTACGTCTGCCATTTGAACTTTAAAAAGTGGGTTTTAACTTACCTAACTGTTCTTCTACTGTCTGCTCTGCTTTGTTCTCCAATCTTGGAATGCCTGTGCCTATCCATTTTGCTTCTCTGCTCTTGTGCTGTTGCTGCCATTCTTTTGAAATACTCTGCTTCCTGCCTCTCTTTCCTCCTTTTGGAAAAATACGAGGAGAAAGCACATGCTACTTTCCTTTTTCTTCGATCAGCAGGCTGGCTTGCTTTGCCAAGAAGAGCCTCTTCCTTTGGAGAGGTTCTTCTCGCTGAAATATGTGACACTGTGTTTAGGGTTGTTCCTGAATTTCAAAAGTTAACTTAATACCCTGGCAGCTGTAATAGCTGTATAATTGATATCACCTGCCTCATTCTGATTTTTGATGCGCAAATAGAATACTGCTGAGCTAGTTGGCATTCTAAGGCAGAAGCCAGTTCTTGAATATTAATGTCTACTCTTTCTCATTAACCGAATCAGATCTTGGAAAGTTAAGTCTTAAAAAATATTTGAATGGGAAAGGAAAGAACGTGACATAACTGGAATCTTCTGTGATTTGTCTTGCTTGACTGGTTTCTTAATCTACTGTTAAGCTTTAGGACGTCAAGAAAGCAACTTTTGAAAGAGTTTGGAAGAAAGTAGAGGCTTGAATCCTGTAATATTTCTAAAAGGCCTGTCTGTGAAGGAGAGCTATTAGTCTAAGGCCTCTCAACTTCTGTTGAGCTCAACTTGGCAGTTTTAAAGAACCACCCTAAAATCTATAGGTGATGAGAACAAGAATTGATGAATTTCTGCAGAACTTGCGGAAGTTGGGTAGCACTGCTTATTGGTGACTGCGCTGGAGAAATAGGTCTGGTTGGCCAGTGAGTGGTCCTCCCTGTTTGCATCCCCAGGTGATATTCTACCTGCTTGAAATTGAGATGTTGCTCTGTGATTTGTCATAATGTAGTACTTAACGGCACCAATGTAGAATGTTTGGATCATCTTTACATTTTGAGGGACAAATGCTTTATGAGGGTCTGTTTTATGAATTTTGGAGGAATCTTATTTCTCCAAGTGTTTGCCAGTTCAGGGGATAGAAGAACACATGCTTAAAGCTCGCAGCCATAAAGATAAAAGCATGATCGATGTTTTTCAATAGCAGCTTGACAGCTTTACTGTTCCAGCATGTTAATTATGCATAAATAAGGAGCATCAGCAGGGCTGCCAGTTAACCCTTGTGATTTTTGAAAGACACCTAGAGTATTGCCTGTAATAATCTCAGTTTGTGTGTGTGGTATCAGGAAAGTAGCTTTTGCTTTCTTTTCTTTTTCTTCCCCCCCCCCCCCAAACTATTGTCAAAACAGGTTATGACTAAATATAAACATAAAAACAAGTTTTAGCAGAGGTCATGGAGTTGTATGGCAGGCTCTTGTCCAGAATTACAGTAAAATACTTACTCATGTGTAAGATGGAAAAAAGATTTTAATGTCTTCCTCCCATCTTTCTTTCTGGGCATGTCTTGTATATCTGAATGCCTGGTAGACTAATGAAATCTCTTGGTGATATCTTTGCAGGGAGTGCCTTACTTAGGGAACAGGTGTAGTCTGCAGTACAATTACAGCAGTCTCAGCTTTTGCTACCTGCAGTCTGAATAAACTTTTCTTCATGCTTTATACTCTCATGCTGTCCTGAAAGAT